TATATGATTTAACACTGACAACCACGGCTTTGCCTTGAGTTTGATATGAGAGCAATAAATCAAAAACCACAGCGTTGTCATATTGTCAGTCCTGTCAGCTTCTAAAACACTTTCTTTGGGGATATTTATTCAATGCTGTTTTATCACCTTCTAAATGTAATACAACCCGCAGCAGCTCTCCTCTCTCTGTACAGCGTGATAAGAGAAAAGCATCCTTTCATGTCCATCTCTGCGGCATTGTTTTATTTTTAATGACATGGTCAACTTTGAAGGAGATAATTATTCAATTACCATATAAGGGTGGCAGAGAGAAAGAATGTAATGACCATTTCAATAACAGCAAAATGGATTCCCTGCATTCTCTTCTTCTGCTGCTTTCTAAAAAGAAACAGACTCTCTGACATGTGAACGTGTGTGTGTGTGTGTGTGTGGGCTCTAACGTGTGTGTGAATGCTTCCTTTTGTATTTTCGCAAGGAAGCGTGATTTGTCTACTCCAAAGCTTTAAATCCAGAAACACACCTCCCCCTTATCAGCATGTGAGATAGACTTTCTGATTGCTTTCAGGCAGTATCAGCAAAGTCATTATTCTGTGATTACCGCCTTATTTGCCCACCAAAGTGCCTCTCCAGCGCAAACACCAGATTTTCCACCCAGGCTTGAGTGGCGGGCGAGCATTTGACTGACAGCTGGTAAATGATGTCATTAGCATCCTCTTTGGTAAATGGAGCAGTGGCTACAGTCGATTGGTTGGTAATTTGTTACGGCTGATGCGTTGCCGATGATGGATGGTAGGGCGACTCCGGGGAAAGAGGAACTGCCCAACTGTCCCGTTTGAGGAGAGAGTGAGAGGAGGGGGAGGAGAGTGAGGGTGGAGGAGTCTGTGTAGCCAGCTCTTCATTACGTGTATGAGATGGCTCATGAGACAGCGTTTAATTACTTTTGCTGACACTTGCTCCGCTGTCTAGCTTCCTGTCCAAAGAGCTACAAAAAAGTGTAATGGCCTAGAACAGCTTAGTGTGAGAGGGAATGGACAGAAAGCCAGAAATAAAGGTGTACAAGATAGAAGAGATACATCTTGGATCAACTGCTCTGACGATAGACAATTCTGCGTGTAGATCATTTTTAGTGCAGCTGAGATGACTGCGGGACAAACTGAACCTACATTTGTTCCAGCGCTGACGTCATCCCACCTCTATCAAGGTGCTCTCTGAGCAATCAGCGGATGAAAAAGGAGGATGAACATAAAATATTCATATTGCCCCTCTGCCCTGTTTTGAAAGGACCATGTGTTCATATTAAATGTGATGAATATTCACGCTGTTAATTAGCATGAGTGCAGCCACATGGGCCAACAGAATTGTTTTCCTGCCGGAGACATGACTGCAAACAAGGCATATTAATGAGCAATCCCCTGGGACAGCTCTGCTGAAACACCAGGGCTGGAGAAGCAAGCTGCCAGTGACAATTTCATCAAATAATTCAAAGTTTACTGCTATTTTTATGATTTCACGGGAGAATTGTGTTGATTTGGGGTACAACAAATGGTTGACAAAGCTTATTGGTTATTCAATTTTCTTTATTTTTTAAATAGCTAAGGGGGAAAGTGTCCCTACTACACACGCTAACAGACCGTTTGTAATCCTAATGGGAAAATAAATAAATGTGAGACTTAATTATCAGGATAGTAGGAGGGTGTATGTGTGTGCACATGTTTGATGGGCAACTCTGTGAAAGTTGTGATTAGAATTAGTGGGCAGGAGTGATGAATCTCTCGTAGCATGATTGCAAGCTGTGGCTTCATTCGTTTCTCTGCTCATTTTTCATCTCAAACATGAGGAGGAGGGGAGGCTGAAAAAGTCAGTACTGGAAGTTGTAAATTTTTCTGATTCCTAGACACCCGTTTCTCCCTAAAACATGGCAGTCATCTTAACTATGTTCCTTGCTGTTTCAGCTGGGGGAGAAATGGACAGCTGTTTTTATGGATGGATGAACTGTTATAAGGATGGAAGCAAAAAGCTTACAAGAATAATAAATCTTCCTCCTTTATCAATGGTTACGAAAGCCTACACCTAAACTCAGAGTCTTGACACAATCAGAATAAGTGTCGGCCCAGAAAAAGACCAGGGCTTCATCTTTAACAACCAAGATCAACTTTTTCTGTATCACTGGTGTTCTGCATCAATGTAAATGCCAGTTAATATTAGCGTCACCTTGAAAAGACTTAATGTAGTAAATCAGACTACTTGTTATTGTACGGGGTAAAAATCTGGACTCTGAGTGATTAGTTGCCCGTTTGTTAGAAAATACACTGTGATTACTTTTCTTTCCGAAAGATAACCCCTGCATTAAATCATGTAAACAGTTTTTTATTCCAGTTTTTTTTTTGTGGTGGGGGCTGGGTGTTAACTTCAGAGCTTATCAGATATAGAGTTAGAAAAATAGGGTAAATCCTTTTTGTAGCACTCTCACTGTTCAGCGGCAGCATCTTAAATGGGGAATTTGAGTCCAGAGCTCTTAATGCATTTTTTACACCGCGTTCGTGCTGCTGATTCAAGAGGATTATCCTCAATCCCCTTTGTCGTCCTGGGTTTTGGGTGCCAGGTTTGTGCTGTTCATATTTCACATTTTTGGCAGCTCAAATCTTCTATTTTTAACATACATTTCAAACCGCTTGCTCAATCTGACGAGTGTTAGTTCAGAGGTTAGCAAGTTGATGAGTAATAGCCTTGCAGTAAGCACAAACGGAAACATTAATATTATATAAGACTGTGTTTGTGATCTTGGCTCTCTGGGTTTTGGCATAGTTGTTAAAGAGGCTATTTTGGGTTTTACATTTCCTGCAATGTGTTCTATAGGTTGTTGAACATGTAAATGCTCTGCAAAGGCTAAAATCCCAAAGTTACTTCCAGAGAAGTACTCACTTCCCCCCTGCCTGAAACGCCTCCATTGGACACTTGCACTTCTATCGGCTATCACATCGTACGTGATAGGCTAATAGGCGGGACATCTCTAAGCAGTTGACCAATCGCAACAGAGCCGACCTGCTAACCAATCAGATCAGACTGGGCTCTGGTTTCAGACAGAGGGTGAAAAGAGGTGCTCCAGCACAGGCAGTATGAGAAAAATAAATACCTTTCTGAACATTAAAGCATGGAAACATGTCACAGTAGAATCACAAAATACAAATATTCATTTCATTTCATTTCAAGCCTTTATTTAATCAGATGAATCCCATTGAGATCATTGATCTCTTTTTCAAGGGAGACCTGCTCAAGTAGTTCCACATGAAACATAGAAACATAGACAGAACAACAAGGACATAAAATATAAACCTGAAAATGAGAATAATATGGCCCCTTTAAGCTGGATGTGCCCAAATGAAACCCAATTGTAAAGAACAGGAGAACACGGCACCTATAAAGAAAGTCTATAAACATAAATGCTAACACTCTTATTGCCTGTCATTGGAATAGAGTCAACATGTATTGTGAGAAAGTGTTTGCAGAGGCTGAGAATACTCGAGCATTTAATCATCAAGGCAGACAGAGAAAAGATACACAATAGAGTGAAATCATTGAGCAATGTCAAGAGTCTCTTTCTTCACCTCGGTATGATCCAGTGAATCGGCCTCTGCAGGCCCGAAGGAGGCTGCTAACGAGGCTGATCTATATTCAGGGATCCTTGTCACGTCTACCTTCACATCTGCACAAACTGGAACAGCGCTGCTCAGAGATGTTATGACGCCAAGTCAACTTCATTTTCTAAGTCAAATATCACTACTGTGTCTCAGAAGGACAAGCCCTCGTCTATCCAAACTCTGTAAAGCTGTGCTGAGTTTTGAGAGGAAACCACTGTGACAGGTGAAATTCTGTGGTTTGAACCATTTCTTCACATTAGGAGTTAAGTTTGCTCCCGGTGAAGTCCCCGGTCTGTGGGCTGAACACCTCCACGAATAGAGAATCTATCTTTGAGTCATATTACTGTTACATTTCTAATTATGCAGGCTGCAAAACTGAATGAAAGCTGCTGTCACTGAATATTTCATTTTAGGGCTCACTTCCCTGACGCTCAGGGTTATGTGTAGACGGATGAAGAGATGTTATACTTAGATAGGAATTAGTGCTTTATTCACTGTGAGGAAATCAAGTTGATAAAGCAGCTCAAACTGGGGTTTTAAGGTGTTCAAATGCTGTTCAGTTTAGGCTCTTGTTTTTGTCACAATTTGTTGTCTATTACTTATTGATAACTATTAAAATATTTATCAGATTCAACAGGAAAATGTTAAATACAAATCCCCTTAGCTGACCTCTAATTTATGAATTGTATTACTTTTATATGTGGATAAGTTTAGGTGATATCTTCTTTCAGTGCGAGCCTGTGGTCCATGATAGTCGATAGGATTGATATTGTTAGCTCAATGCTGGTGATGATTTGATTTTCTCACACACAGTTCTGTGTGTAGACTTTAATTATCTTCTGACAGCCACGCGTACGCGGCAGGCTAATTGATGTAGACATGCATGAAGTGTTTTATGTTTGTGGAGTGCTTTCCTATTGTAGTGTTGCCTCCGCTGATCACAAAGTCCCCTCGAGTGGGATTGATGACTCGGAACAGCACTCATGTCATGCTTCTGCAGCCACAGCCAGACTAATGGTATTAGCTAGCTGGGGTATTAAAGGCAAGTTCTGTCATGCGTCTCACTGATCCGTGATACTGGGGCTAACAGTTGACTAGCTACCATTGAATTATTCTGCTTGGCTCTTTTCCTCCCAAGGCTCAGTGCACCAGACTGGATTATAGACTTGAGTGTCAAAAAAAGAAATTAATCCTGTCGGGGACTGACGAATAGTTGATAGCTTCCCCTGACTCCCTAAAAACAGGAGTTTTGATTTCCTGACTGTACTGACTTTGTCTTCACACGCACTTACACTCCTTCTTCATCCTGTATGACTCCTGCATCCATGATGATCTCACCTTCCCTCCTCTTCTTCTCTGCAGGTAATGCAGGTGGTGAGGGAGCAGATCATGAGAGCACTCACTCTGAAGCCTAATTCCCTGGACCAGTTCAAGAGTCGCCTGCAGAACCTGAGCTACACAGAGATCCTGAAGATACGCCAGTCGGAAAGGATGAATCAGGAAGACTTCCAGTCCCGGCCCATCCTGTGAGTCAAGTATACGAATAGTGTTGATTCATTTATTAGAGGGTGGTGGTCCGAACTGTCCCACATATCTTTGTTGGGAAGATAGTAACATATTGCTGCTACTTAAAGGAGGGTAAGGGGGATCTATTGACAGAATTAATTATAATAGGCCTATTCATTATTTAGTTTTCATGTGTTTATCACCTGAAGATAAGATTACGTTTGGCCCGAAGTAGTAGTTCTACAAAGCGCTTTGAAAAGGAGATGTGGGCAGGGGCGGACTGGCCATCGGGACGTCCGGGACGAATCCTGATGGGCCGGTACTGAAGTGGGCCGTTCGGATGATGTGGGCCGGTCGGAGAAGTCACTAGCACCCCACCCCCCCCGCCCGTTGACAATTTACTTGCGGTAATTACTTGCGGTACCGTGGTTGGCCGGTCGAGAGTCCCGGGCTGGATGTGGGTGTTAATTAGTTGGCAGCAATCTGTCACAAACTGCTCCTTTAATATGAATAGATGGACTTAAATGGTATTCAGGCATACTGTAGGTCTTACAGCTTTAGAGGAAAATACACTCTGAACCCAAAGAAAAGTCAGACCTTTTCTGTAGAGTTGGAGGAACTGCTCTGTGATATTCCCTAATCAGGCCTAAGACTCAAATGAGGACACGATTTGCTTCTTCAAAAAAAGAGCCGTGGTCATTAATGTGCTTTTAATTGCTTCTGTTTTCTCTCTTTCATTTGTCAACCAAATGCCAGCTAATGGCACAAAGCCAGTTGCACCTGCGCTCTCCTCTCATGATTGAAAATATGCAATAAATTCAAATCTTCTGCAAATGGCATTCCCAGTGAATACTCCATTAACAACCCTCACTAAGCATGGAGAACTATTCTGTAATAGACCATCCATTGACTGATCGTGGATGCAGGGCTTGTAATGGAGAACATTGTTTTGTCCTGCCTGCATTTAATGGAGTAGATGGCACTATTGGAAAATCGTTTCACAGAGAGAGCTTGTCCCTCTGAACAGTAATCAATGTTGAGCCACGGGGTTATTTAATCGATATTGGAAGGATAGAGACCAAACTTTAGCAGCCAATTAATCCTATTGGAGAAAAGCAGAACAAAAGCGAAAGGAGTTGCTGAGAAAACTAATGATGTAGTTATCTCATTCACATTCAGAGTTAGGTTCAAAGTTGTATTATGTATTAAACACTGTATTTCATGTGTTGACTAGGGGACACAAGCAGAATTTAACAAGTTTACACTCAATCGATGGCTAAATTAGCTTCTTAAATAAAGTAAAAAGCACATTTAAAAAATGATTTACAGAATGGCTGTGGAAAGCATTGAACATCACAGGCTAATGAGTCTTTCTTTAACAGCGTGAGACTACCCGATGGTGGAATTTTCCTCTAATCAATACACTCATGACTTGTAAACATAATGAGTGTGTCAGACTGCAGATTTAAAGGAGCACCGTGTTGCCTGCTAAAGGTGCTGCCAGATTTCTCCCATCAATTATTGCAGAGAATGACTTTAGACATCAAAAGAAGGTGAAGAGGAACTATTATGGCTTCAGATCAAAGCTGTGTCTCCAGTAGAATCTTTTTTATTTTATACCATGTTGACTTTTTCAGATGTTTATGCTTTATGTGGAAAGTTTTGGATGTACTGAAAGTTGCTTACACCAACAAATTAAATGGACATCACATAATCCATGCAGCAGGTCATCTCAGAACTGCTGACGAAACACTTGTGAGAAAATAGTAATTCACAATTTAATTTGAATGCAGTCCCCAGAAAATCAGGATGAAAAGTGGTTTTAAAATAAACCGTAATTGATCCTCTTCTCCACCTGTGCTGGAATAATGTATTGATGTACTGTGAGTTTGTAATAAGCGGTGAATGCCAGACTTTTTAATTATGTAAACACCTTATACCAACCAGAGTGCTTCCTTATTACAACTCTACCTCAGCCCTTTCATTCAAGTCTTTTTGATTTTCTACGTTAGCCGGAAAGAATCAATTTAAACTGAAACTGGAGCTACGTCCTTAACAAGACCATCCGAAGCTATCCGACAATAACAATCTCAGTCAGAAGGATAGCATATGAGAGCGATCAAAATCCGTCCTTCCTGCGGTGAGCCACGCCTTACCCACAAGCTGACCTTTAAAAGATACACGAGTGAAGGTACGACCGCAGATCAATGTAATGACTGGAGTCACTGATGAGGCAAATACACAGCGAGGGTGAGACACATGAAAGGAGGTGAGAGCAGATGGGCCTGAAGGACAGGGGCAAGAGAAAGAAGGACAGAAGCAGTTTGAAACACCAGCAAGGCAAAATACAACAAAACATTGAAATGCATAGAGTAGAAAATCAGATAACCAAAAGTCTGCATATTTCTAAAGAAAAGAAAAAGGGTAAATTGAAAGAGAAAAGACTCGGGTAGATAATATACATAATTCATGTTGACCAGTGTTGTGTGCTCCATATTCGCAACACAGACATACATACGTAAAGAAGCATGAATAAATGACAGGGAGAGCTGAGGCAGCCCAGATTCCCACTGATCAGCCTCTTAGGAAGTTAGGTGACATGTTTTCTCAGTATGTACACATGCATGCATATGTATATCTGCCTGTTTGGCATTCTCTGATCCCTCCTGACAACCGTAATCCAGTTTGCTTTGTCAGATAAATATTGTATGCTGCCAGAAAAGTCAGGAAATCTAAAATAATTCCCTTCTTGATCTGAGAGGATTTTTGCACCTTGCTGTGATTTCCACATTTGGATAGGGTGTGATTTAAAGATGATAGAGATTGTTCCTAAATCATGTGTTCCTTTCTCTGAAGGGAGCTGAGGGAGAAGATCCAGCCCGAGATCATGGAGCTGATCAAACAGCAGAGGCTCAACAGGTTGTGTGACGGGACCTGCTTCAGGAAAATCAGTAGTCGCAGGAGGCAAGGTGAGACCCACATCACTCACACACACACACACACACACACACACACACACACACACTTATACATCCAGAGACTGCGCAGGCACCGAAACTCCCATCTCTCTCTGCTGTTTTCACAAGGCCAATCCGTCTGTTTGTTCTACATCCGTCCTCTACAGCTCCACTCGTCGCCTTATTCCCTTTGCTTTATAAAAAAAATCCCAAAGGAAATGTGTATCACAGGAGATCTTTGAGGCTCTGGGCTGCTGAGGATCTGCTGTCATGATGGTTCACATTTAAATTATTCTGGCTCCATCAGCCTCTGAGGTGGAGACATAGAGTGACACGCTGCCTCTTTTAATAGAAACACATTCAGAAATGTCGTCTCAGAGGCACAAACACAAGTCTCCCTCTCTGTTCGCCCCTGCTTACACAGATATATGGCATGCAAAGAAATGAAAAAGATAGGCAAGAACGGGGCGGGCATACTTACACAATTGTCACGATACAGCAAATGTATTGCGCATTTATGTACATACTTAACTTGATTAAGTGTCAGAATGTATGGTATTCCTTCTTTGTGATGCAGGGGACAAGTAAGGGAAAACAAAGCAGCCACATAGGACCGTATTTGAATCGTTTGGCCTAATTTATTTCACATTTGCTGCCACTGAACGAAAGTAGGGGGGGAGGGAGAGTAGTATTTAACATGTATAACACACTTTTCCTCGGTCAAAGAGGATTTAATTCAGTTCTGATCCCTTCACCCCTCTCTGTTTAAATATAGAAATGCTTGAAATAAAAAAAGAAAGAGTGACAGGCACAGGTTGTGAGACGGTTTGTTTTTTATTGCGTTTCTGTCATCAGCGTCCCCACAGGAACTGTACTTTCAAAAAGACAAAATGAGAACAACCAGGTGGAGTTTTCCCCCAAAACATCTAATGCATGCTGGCATTTCAAAACCTGATCACAATTTGTCTTTGCAGCTGTCATCCAGATGTTAAAGCTAGATTACAGAAAGAAAAAGGTGAAAAGAAAGCACAGAACAAAGGATTTGAAAAGATGTTACAGGACAGATGTTCAGGTAGAAAGCATCGCCCCGATCCAGTATCTTTACTGCATGTTGTCGGCTGATTTACTCTTGTCTGGATTTACGACAGACATGCTGAGAATAGTGTCAAATTACCATATCACGCTTATTACTTTTCAGATCCTAGATTCCTTGTCAGAGGAATGGAGGACACAGGCACATATGCACGCACTAGCACACATACTAAACACAGGAATAAAAGCATTAGCCATTCAGAAGCAGAACACTCGCACACACAGTCGTATATAAAGCAGTTCACGAACCTCCCTGGATTTAATTTAGCACGGTAGCCTGTAGGGTTACTCTGGCTTTAATCTGCTGCAACAGGACTGACTGTAGGAGAGTCTGTCTGCTACAGCTGAAGCTCTCTCTCTCCTTCTGATGACTCTCGAAGGAGTCAAGGACGTGGCGTTTCTTCAAGACTCTCCGTGTGCATGTGTGAATGTATACAGGCTTCCTTCATCTGTTCCCCTGACTCTCTCTTCCCATACATGTCTATAGTCTCCTCCCTCTCCTCTATTATATGCAGCACATCCATGCACTGACAATGTGAAGAGAACTTTGTCTTACAGAACATCAAAGGCGTCCCTTAGCAAGTTCAATTTTCCCTTAGGGTTCACCACTACATTAAATCAAAAGCAGGGTTTGCATAAATCATGCTGAAACTTGGTTTAGATTAATTTGGTCCGGTCTCTTCTACTCAGAGACTTTCCCATTACTTCTTATTCTACTGTAATGTGTCTTGTCCTATCTTTTTGTACATACATAAAATGTGCTCCAATTCTCCCTTCCCCTCTCCTTCTCTAAAGTCTCCTTATGCATCTTGTACAACTATTTCAAAGTCCTCCAGCCTGCAGGGACTCAAGTACCTCCATCAAATATTAATTTGACTGACGTCAGCGCAGACGACTCTTCTCTCTACGTTTCAAAGTGCTAGTCTACCCATTAAAGTGGATGCTTCTCTCTAAAAGCTCAGGTTGATGATGTTTTAAAGAAGGGGACTACCTGTACAGACTTTTAAGTGCACAGTGCTTGGGGGCTCTGGAGACCTTACCTTCTTTAAATGTTGCATCAAAGCAAGAGAAAATCTGGATTTTTTTTTTTTTGCGTGATTCTGTTGAATCTTATCGTGTTGTTCAGTCATATTCTGTGCTGTATTAGATAAAGACAATTGCAGTTTAAATGATACACAACTGAAATTGAATCACGATAGAGATACAGTGTCTTGAATCCAAAAGGGAGGAACATATGGGCTTGTGCGTAGAACACATGCTCACACAAATCAGTGAAACAGTTGACAGCGCCCCTCCCTTCACGGACGGCTGCCACTCTGCACCAGCCTGGCACCGACAACTGTCTATTTTCAGCAATTAGGATTTGGACTTTATCGCCCTGCACTCTCCAGCCAGAACCCCCCAGTCTGTGCCCACTCTCTGCCAGCTCAGATCCATGCCGACCTTGGCAGGGAGTGACTTAAGAACACCAGGCAGGCGCTTTACAGAAACAGCTGGTGGTTACAGGCGGCTGGAGGATTACACACCACACCAGCCAAGATAAACACACACTCCATCAGCAATTATGTATTTGTTAGCTTTTGATGTTTCAATTGTGTCTAGCCTTTAACAAAACCTGAGCGTAAGAATGTTATAATAAGTCCCTATCATGAAGTATCCAAATTGCGTTATGTAGTTACACAATTGTTTAGGCACTGAAGTGTTTGTTAGTCTTATAACTACATGTGTTACATTAATAATACAGCCAGGCCAACTCTTGCCTCAGAGTTGTAGGCTCCTTAGTGCTTTACTTAGCCTTACAGCCTCTAAAATCATCATATGTCCTTCCTTATCTTTTGACACAGTGCAAAATTGTATATGGCAATTGTCTTTTTTTCATAAATGATCTCAGTCAAAGTAGGTGTTTCCTGTAGGTAGAGTAGTGATTTAGGGCCTCGTGCCTCTATTGTGAAACTTTGAGCCTGTTTGATTTGTATCTTTTAAACAAAGCATTTGACAGTTGCAGTTTGCCGCATTTGAGCCGGAGAAAGAAACCCTGGAAGTGTTTGTCCTGTGATCTCGTCTTGAGTGTGTTGATTGTTGTTGAATTAAAGTGATGAAGACAAACTGTCTGTATTGTTGCCCATCAAGATCCCTCCCTCATGCAGAGCATTACGGCCCATCTGTGGAGTTTCCTCAAGGCTGCTTTCTCTTCTCCTTGTTTTAGTCACACATTTTTTGCCATGCTAATTTACTTCGTTGATGACTCATGCAATCCCATATGAAGTCTGAAGCCAGCTGCTGACTTATTTAATAACTCTCTCTCACCCTCTCCTCCCTCTCTGTTCACTCCCCTCTGTTTTCCTTTCCCCCTTCTTTTTTCCTAGATAAGTTTTGGTATTGCCGTCTGTCTCCGAACCATAAAGTCCTGCACTATGGAGATTTGGAAGAGAGCCCTCAGGGTGAAGTGCCCCACGACTCTTTACAGGACAAACGTGAGTATCAAGGCGAATTTAGATTGTTGTCCTTACCAACATTTGTGACACAGTATGTCTTTTTATTGCAGCTCACATTATTTATTAAAATCTCTATCCTCACATTGACACTGACAGCTGGCTATAAGTCAGTGTTAACATCTCTTCCACTTGAAAGCACAATGACAGATCGGGGGAGAATCATAACTTTTAAACACTTGAAATCAGCCACTAATCTGAGAGGACACAGTTGTCACATGGATGTTGTCATTGTTGTTGTTGTTTTTGTTGTGAACACACTTCTGTCCTCTTTGCAGTGCCTGTGGCTGACATCAAAGCTGTTATCACCGGCAAAGACTGTCCTCACATGAAGGAGAAGGGAGCCCTGAAGCAAAACAAGGTGTGTGTTTGTGTGTTTGTGTGTACATGTGCACACGCGTAGGTGGGTGGGTGTGTATCCAGGCGAGAGAAGATGTTTCTTAGTGCGTGAGAGTTGCATAACATGATGTCAGTTACATAATTTTGCTTTGGGAAATAACACAATAACTCTCAGCTCAGACAGACGTATCCATCAGTGGCATTGTATAAAAAAAACCTTCAGAGAGAAGCCCTTTCAGCTGCAGAAACAAATCACACAAGAGTCGCCAAAAACACGCCGCCATCTTTGCTGTTTAAATGTGAAAGTAGCACACGGCCCTGCCCTCTGCAGTGCCTTAACCAAGATGAAAGAGCCATCGTGCTAGTGTGTACACATCAGCCATTCCTCTCCTGCACTTTGCCTCTGCAAACCTTCCCCCCCCCCACCCCACCCACCACGGGATCCAGATATATCCTGGGATCTGGATAAATAGCCTTGAAGACAAAGGAGAATGCCTCCCCCTGCTTTGTCTCCTTTATTACCTTGTCGATAAGCGAAGGGGAATGACCGGAGGGGGGTTTGCTGGCCGTCAGGCAGGCCTGTCCCAGCCTGGTGAATGAGAACACAAGTACATTTCATTACTCACTGTTACAAGGCCAGCCAAAGTCACCTCTACGGGAACAGAGCAACGCTGGCAGGTGGACCATCTGTGGGACACCGAGGGGGCAAGCAGTGTTTTCCCACTGTTTCCAAATGTCTTCCAAATGTATTGGTCAAAGGCTGTTCTGAGATGAACTTTATATTATTTTCAAATGATTCCATACATCCCATATATCTCCCCCCTTCTGTGCCTCAAGGCATACGTGTTGTTTAGTTAACTTGTGCATTGACCTGGAAGTGCAGTTTGTCCTCTGTGCGGCATTTTGCATCTCATTACTGAAGCACATCATTCCGCTTTATGCAAGGTGCATGCATTCAAAGAGAGGATTACTCAAATGACTGGAGGATGTGTGATAGCTATGGATGATTGCATGTTCTGCTGTATTTACTAATGTTCAAGCTATTTGCAGTGAGCACGATTTGAGTGGATCTAAAAAGCAAGAACAGATTTGTGAAGCGCTATCAAAATGAAGCTGTGTTGGGGAATAGTAGATTTCATTAGGCAGTATTTAACTGACAACTCAATACTAGTAGAGAAGCCACTGCAAGGTAGAATGTTGCACTAAATGAGTTCATAAACAAAAAATTGGGGTTAAAAACAGCATTTATAAACGAGCACAATATACATTTGATTACACCAAATGAAGACCTCTGAGGCCATAAACTTGATCCGCAAGGCACCATGGGAATTACACTTATTTAATTTATAAAAGTGGACTTGGTTGCAGTTGTGTTGTGACTGAAGCAACACTAGCATTTATCTTGGGGTTATAATGTCATGCAAATTAAAATATCCTAACAACTATTACAGCAGTTGTCAAGAAATGTGGATGAACTGGAATCATTTTAGTGATCATCTGACTTGTAAATGTTAATTTGACTAATACTTTGTTACAATAATGCAAAACTGTTTGTTGATGGTGCTAATTTACTGTGACTAACTAAGATGGTGAACATGTTAAACATTATAACTGCCTAAAATCAGAAAGGTTAGCATTGACACGTATATTGAGTAAAAGATGTCCACATAAGTGTTTCATCATTAAAGCCTATCCTTTTTGAGACTCCTGATCTGAGACAAACCCCCCCCTCTGAACCATGTCTTTGAAGCCCTCCCTCACAAATTGCACCCGGGCTGCAGTGCAAGTCTTTTAATGTGTAATTATCTTCTGCCGTAGTAAATCAGACGCTAATTTCACTCAGATTGCGAGCAAGCATTTAATGAATTGCTTCCTTGTTTACAAATGTGTCTCTCAGTTTACCTGTTCTGTCCTCGCACTGCATTCAATTGATTTCCTACAGTAGACCAAAGTAGACTTTGAGGAAAATCTCATCACAGCACATCATATTCCCAGCCTCCCCAGGCATTTTGCAATATCGTGTATCTGAGAGCCCCAGGTGTTTCACTCTTTGAGTTTTACCTCGCTGATACCCGATGAGTTGATGTGCAGCTGATGTATCAGATGGTGACAACACGTGAGGAGGAGAGGGACATTGCACTATATGACAGTACATTGACATCAGGACAGCAGAGAGCTTACACATATTCCGGCGCAGACTAAAAACTCATCTCTTTCGACTCCACTTCGAGCGATAGATTACTAACAAAGCGCTTATATACTAACAAAGGACTGGCTTATCTAAAGCCAGTTGAGTAGCACTTGAAATGTGTTGGCTCTATGAAACCTTATGTACTTATATGATTATGTCTTCTTCAAGTTTGATTCTTCTTGGTCGAATGCACTTATTTTAAGTCGCTTTGGATAAAAGCCAAATGTAATATGAATGAAATGAAATCTCATCATATTCTTCTCCTTTTTCCCCCTTCTTCATTTTGTCTCCTCCACTCTGTCACTGTCTGTATCTCCCGCTCTGTCTCTGCACCATGTTCTCCTTCTCACTCCTCCCTCTGTGCCTTTCACCCTGTCTTCTCTCCAGGAGGTGTTGGAGCTGGCCTTCTCTGTTCTCTATGAGTCGGACGAGTATTTGAACTTTATTGCTCCTGACAAGCATGAGGTGAGCCAACAGGAGCGGCCCTGTGGCAGCTGACAGTGTCTTGACAGAAGGAACAAGTCTGATGGCACAGAGAAATGTGTACAAGTATAGTGTATAAGTGTTGAAGTCAGATATATACTGGAAATTGTCCCTATAACGTATTAAAGTGGTTAATTCAACTCACAATTTTTGAAAAACAATGTATAATGAATATTCTTAACAATTTTCCATATTTTGAAATGTTAACCATGAATGGTAGATATAGATAATATCATTTTTTATTGTTTATGCAACTTATAACAAAGTATTAGATCCTGTACACAAAGGTCTAATGCTTTAAGGATTCATCATGATAATTCAAAGCATAACCTCAAAGCTTGACTCCAGAACATTTCTCTAAATAGGTGTTTAGGCATAGAAGTTTGTATTTAGGACACGAGAGAAGAACGTGTCCCTGCTCTATTCCTCCTGAGTCCCAGTGTACCCAGACTGTCCTCCCATGGTGCTTAGCTTCTTTAATGCCTGCTGGTCTCTGTACCAGGAGGAGTCTGCACGCTGTCAACTAGCTCCGTTAAAAACACATCATGCCTAATTAAAGTTTGTAGATTTAGGAATTATTTAATTTTGTGTTTATGACATGAGTTACTACCTGATTTAATGTGTTTCTTGGTCTTTCCTTGTGTCTGCAGTACTGCGTGTGGACAGACGGTCTAAACGCCCTCCTGGGAAAGGAGATGACCAGCGATTACACCAAATCGGACATGGACACCCTGCTCTCCATGGAGATGAAACTCCGCCTCTTGGATCTAGAGAACATCCAGATTCCAGAGGCCCCGCCCCCCATTCCCAAAGAACCTAGCAACTATGACTTTGTTTACGACTGTAACTAGACGAGCGACCCCGAACTCACCCAGCACCTACTGTACTGTTCTCACTGGACCAATCCCCTTTTCTTATGAACTGGAACAAAAACAAATAAACTCACAAAATATAAAAAATGAACTGTGATTCAATGAAAAAAGGATTTCTTGAGCTATATTCCTCTTGCTTCTTGCTTGACCTTTCTAAGAGAGAAAATTGTGTACATTAAACGGCTCGCTGCCCTTGAGAGGACTCGGGTTTGATGCAGAGTCATCAAGTTGCCATGGAGAAGAGAAACCAGGAAGTATTTGTTTGGCCTGTCGTTGGTCGTCCTGCGTCTTTGCCCTCACTCTCCTCCCGTGATGTTTTCAGACATTCACTCCTCCTTCTCGACCGTGGCGCCCGCTGTCATTTTGCTTGAAGAGTGTTGTAGACAAATGCTTAGAAAATCAGCTTCCTTGTTGTCCTTGTTTACTTCTTTCTTTTTCCTCAGGGCTTCTGTCGGGGGAGGGATGATGGTTGTGTAGTTCAGGAGCAGGGAGGGACAGGGTTTTGTGTTTTGTCGTCACCTTTCCTGCAGTATTTTCTGTCACATTATTACCTACAGTATTTGTGGCAGTTTGTCACAAGGCTGAAAGGAAGGCTAAAGTACATTTTAAGAGGAATACTTCATGATAATAGTCTCTTATATCTGCTCCGCCTGTTAAACATATACTGAAGACTGTTAGAATAAGCGGATCCTCAAAATCAAGGCACTGTATTACAGTTAAAAGCCTTTCTTTGAAATAATGTTGATATTACTATCCCTTTGCTGCTTATTGCATATTGTACACAACTACACAGTGGCTTTGCCAATACAACTTTAAAAGCACCACCATTGTGAAACACATACAAACACACACTCGTCTCTCCCTCATTTGAGTCTCTCGTTGTAATGACTGCTGTACACGACATTCCTAAGCAATATTTGAGCTTCTCTTTTGTTTATCATTTGTAAGATGGTCATAATTTAGGGATTTTTTAATTGTGAAACTGCCTAGTAGTTGGTATATATATATAAAAAAAAAAAGGATGTTAGTGTTTTGATCAAGGGAAGTTTTTTTTATGTTCAGGACTATATGGCCACAAATTGAAAGTGTATGTATTTTTTTAATTTAAAAACAGATCATGGTTGTAATCTCTAGTATGATTTATATATTTTCCCCTTTCTATTTAATACCTTCAGATGGTTTCTTTAGGATTTTTCAAAGCCCCTCAAAACTGCTGTTTACATTAAAGATTTAAGAACTGTAACGTCGTTTTCCTTCTGTCCCTCTCTTCATTCATTAACCACATGCATATCATGTGTTTTAAACCTACAGGTGAAAGGTTAGACCTCGATTACGAACAGCCAATGTCACAACATTGTTTGCTTTTCACCGCTGAGTCATTGTGCATATGAATTCCTGAAAAAGTATTTCATGGACAGGCTGTCCCTTTAACAGTTGAGCGACATATGGTGTATAGATACAGACTTCAATTATCCCAGAGGCAATTTTGTTTTCACAGAAAAGCAATTGGAACATAATTAACTAAAAAAACACCTTTAGCATCTGCCCTCCTAATGGCATCTACCCCCTCCCCATGTATTCACAATGCAGACGTGTTGTGCCATTCAATATCTGGATTGTCTTTGTTTGGCCTGGTTCAAGCAGCGCACCTTTAGGTACTGTTGTAAATCATTACAAATCCAGAACCATGGATGTTAAAAAGCACCTACTACACTCCAATAACATTTACACAAAAACAGACTGCACTTAAATAGTTTTTTGTCAACTGGTAACTGAGGCCCACAAAGAAAAGTTAATAGCATTTGAAGAAGAAGCGTTGGTGGCCTTATGTGTTCCACTGTGCTGTGGTTTCTAAAAAGACACTCATTAGGCGCGTTCACACCAAGTACTTTTCCCACAAAGGTTCCTGAGAACTACGATTTAGTTGCGTTCACACCAAAAAGTCCCAGGAACTAAATTAGTTCTCGAGAACCTTTTTTACCCCCTTTTCAGTCCCTGCTAGAGAGCAGGGACTTTCGTGGGAGAAAAAGGTTCCTGTGTCTGATTGGCTGGGCGGAATGCAAACCACGCCCCGTCAAACTCCCAAAAACTTTTGTGAAGCCGCCATTTTATTATCCTCGCATTGCATTATTAGCATTAGCATTAGCCCAGCGCAGAAACGCAGAGAGACTAATTTATGACAACACAACATAAAACATGGGAGCGGTGGA